TTAAATCTCAATTTTCATCAAGGTTGATTTAATATTTGTGAAGTTTATAATAATAATGATACTACTTTTTATACTAGTTAATGACTCTAATCATTTTATTTAAAAATTTAAATAGAATTAAAAGTATATAAAATGCTATTAGTATTATTAATTAAATTTTGGCTAACTTTAATAATTCTTATTAAAGAAAATAAATAAAAAATTAAATTAAAAAATATAAAATTCATTAATAAATAAAATATGAAGTAATATAATTAAATTAAAAATAAAAAATGTCATAAGTATTAAATAAGATTAAAAAAAAATTTAAATTTAAATAATATAATTTAATTAATATTCACAATTTTTATTTATATTTATTTTTTAATTCGCTATTTAAAAAATCTATATTAAAATAAAATATAAATTAAAATAAAAATTATTCAATATAATTAAATATTTTCAAAAATTTGGTTTTATATTTTTATTTATTATAAATAAAATTTTAAAGTTAATTGATTTGGTTATATTGTTATAATTGAAATTGATTTTCATTTGAAGTTAAAATTCAAATGATCTTCAAATATTTAAAAATGAGATTCAAAGATCAGTTAACTGAAATTGGAATTCTAATTTTAGATACCCTTTTTTATTATCTGAATTCTAATTTCAGTCATGATTTATTGTTTAATTTTTATGTAACTTTTAATTTAAGTTAAATTTTAATATCAGATATGAGTGCTGTTTGAAATTGGGATATCTGAATTAAACTTCAGATAGAATCTGAATTTCAGATATAAGGCCATTTGAAATTAAAATATCTAAAATTGAACTTTAGATAAAATCTAAATTTCAGACAAAAGGCTATCTGAAATTGAGATATCTGAAATTGAACTTCAGGTAAAATCTGAATTTCAGATACAATACCATCTGAAATTAGGATATCTGAAATTAAACTTCAGATAGAATCTGAATTCCAGACATGAGACTATCAGAATTAGGATATCTGAAATTGAATTCCAGATAAAATCTGAATTTCAGATACAAGGCCATCTGAAATTGGGATATCTGAAATTGAACTTTAAATAAAAACTGAATTTTATACAAATTATGTATTTATAAATTATAATTAAAGTAATATGAAGTATCTATAATCTACATGTACTGTACATAAACAATTTATTTTAATTAATAAAATTTTTATGATCTTTAACTGTTCTTTATTTATTTTCTTAACTACTCTATTATAATAACAAATCCATTAACAAACTATTTATCAATAAAAAGTCGTTATGCAGAATTGCAAGAGGATTTTAGTGCTGCTTTTATTTTAGCTTTTGCTATATTTTCTTGCGCACATGCATTAATAGTGTATTTCTCTTTTACCCAACCCATAAACTAAAGGTGAAAGTTCATTTAAGGGTCACTTAAAATTTTTTGGTCCGGGCATTTTTGAACCGTGAAAAATAACCATTTTGTGGATATAATGAAGATCGTTTTAAAGGATGTAATATCAATTTACTAAATCGCACAATAAAATAAATATATATAATAAAACAAAAGAATAACATCAAAAAAAATAATTTAATTTTCATTATATAAAAATTTTTTAAAAAAAAAATTTTAATCATTGATCGCACATGACCCGCATTTAAATAAAAAATCTATGTAGTATGATCATTCTTCTGTCAAAATAATAAGATAGATTAACCGGGAACTTACCAAACAAAAAAGATTTATTGATAAGATAAAATTAAAATAAAATTTACGTGGCCAACTCAACCATCGAAATCCGTCGAATTTTCAAAATTATCTTGAAAAGTTTTGAAAAATAAAAGAATATTTATATTAGTTGGATTGTACGGTGTGAACTTACTTATTCTAAATCAATGTGAAATAGAACTTTCGCTATTAATTACTCCTTATTTGTTCTTTTGTTTATAAAAAAAAATAATTATAATAAAAACAAATAAATTAAAAAAGTAATAAAATAAACCCTCTTCTGCGTCTTTTTATTGATTTAGGTGGTGTTGGAGCGCAGCGCTGAATCGGGTAAGTGTTAAAAAAAATTTTTCTGTATATTAAAGCACTGTTCATATACTCGTGCTAGGGTAGACAAAAAACCGGTACGGTACAATTCAAATTTCGCAAAAATATATATTTAGGCGAAGTTAATCACGTGATCATGGAAAATTATTTGTCACCTGTATCACATCTCACCACTTTTAGTTTAGTCTTTGATCAATCAGGTGAGCAATATCATGTGATATATTTGAAAATCAATTGAGATTTATATTAATTTAAAATCAAAAATGATGTCGGTGCTGCTATAGTATAGCGGTATAAAGCACTTGACAATTCTAATCTCGAATATTGGGTTCGAGTAAAGCTAATACCCAAAAAAAAAATAATAAAAAAAAAAAAAAAAAAAAAAAAAAAAAAAAAAAAAATTTTTTTTTTTCTTAAAAATTATATTTTAAGCATTACATAGAATAGTTTTCATGAGAGCTTATTAAATTTGAATGTTTTTCTATATCATGAATACTTCATCCTTAACGATCACGACGTGTATTTTCAAAAAAATAAAATCAAAGAATGTCCGTGTTCTACTAACACGTCGTTTTTTTTACGGTATTTTACTATATAACAATTGGAAGTGCATATGAACTTGCCCATTATAATATGCGTTCCAAAAGATTTTAGCTTCTTTTTTCTCACAACACATGAAAAAGCTAAAAAAAAAAGTTGTTTTATTGATGAGCTTATTGACGCTTATTATTGTTTATATTATAAGTAGGACAGTATATTTGTTTTTTTTTTTCGTAATTTGAATTTTATCTTTTTTTTTTTAATGTTTTCATTATTTTTTTTCCAGTAGACCAGGTAACAAGAGGTAACATGCGGTTTTAGTTTGACGTAAAGCACTTTGATTTAATTACAGCTAACAGCATTGTACTTTAAGAGGATGATGTTCAGGAAACTGCTTTTTCTGGTGTAAGAACTGCTATGTACTTACATACCCTTACAGATCAATCAAAAAACGCTCATGAGCGAGTTGCTCCTTATTTTCTGAATACCTTTTGGAGTTAACTTTCATTAAAAATTTCACTGCAATATATTACTTTATAAAGAAAAGATCTATTTAGTTGACTTCTGAATTATCTCAAGGAAGTTGTAAAAAGAATGAGTTATCAGATTTGCCACCAACGGTTCAACAAATTTTATTTGCATACAAGATCAAGTTAGAAAAGCATCACAGGCCTGTTTAGGACCTATAGTAAAAAGTGCCAGATATGATAGCAAAATGCGATGATTTGAAAGGAGCAGTAAAACAAACAATTATGCCGATGATAAAACAAACAGGCGCTGGTAGCCCGATTTGTTTGAGAAAGGATGCGACTTATTGTAAGTATAATGCTGATGCAGTAGATTTAGAATAGATAAAGAAGAGCAACGAAAATTCCCACCAGAATTATTTCTTAGACCATCAGCTAATTCAAAATTTAATACACCTATTGAACATTGGCAAAATCTATTAGCCACTAATACATCGAAAAATATCTACATTTAGACCACTTCTTTATTAACGGCACAACATATTCAGTCACTTTCTCAAAGAGGTGGCATTTCAAGTGGTATTGGTTTAAGGGTAACACTTCCATCATTATTATAGCTTCTCGAATCTGTTCGAGTATAAATGGTGCAAATCGGCAATTTCTAATGGTTCCATCGACAAGATTTATCTAGTATAGAAATTGATAATTTAGAACATTCACTATTAAAGAAAAATTTTGAAATAAATGTGATCCCGCATTCTTCAAGATACCTCCTGTTAAACAGCGAACACTTGAGCGCGGTTTTGTTTTAATCGTTGAATGAGTACAAAGTTACAATAAGGTAATGAAACATCGGACAAATATTTGTACACTACTAATCCATTATTATTGATGTGTAAATGATTTAGCAATAACAATTTCGAAATTTTCATACACAGCTTCAACCACAATCACAGAATTTGATTCGATTATGAAAACATCTTGTCAACATTTTAGTACTAATATTTACAAATAATAATTTGACATCTCAAGGTTCTCTTGATCGTTTATTATCTGAGCCAGCATAACGTTTGGGATCTAATCTACAGTAATGGATGATGGTCTAAGTACTGGAAATAGCAATCATAACAGAACATATAGGTGAGAGAAATAATATTCCTATATAATGAAAATATTATTACTTATTAATCATTACTTATATTATATCTTCATTAAGGTTGCTGGGCTAAACCCGGAAGTTTCGACAGGCATCGAAATCGAAACCGGTCAAAATATCGAAATCCATCGAAATCGAAAGATTGAAATTAGTTCACTAATTTCAATACTAGAAAGCTCATCACCTACTTTCGTGAGTTGATGCGGCTAATGCTTCTACACTAACAATGTTTACCGAACTAATGATGAAATGTTTATGGAAACTAGCAAAATAATTTAAAGGTTGATATCCTTTCACCGAATCAATATTATGTGATCTCAATAGCTTCAAATGGAAAAGTTGATAAAAGGTACTATTACATGAATTGGTGCTAGAGTCCTCATTGGTTATTTACATCAATATAATGAAAGATGAATCCAAGAAATGACTGTTGTGAACACTTTGCTTAAACTTCTAGAATCCAACTCGATAAACCTGGGAAGGATCCTTTGCTAAAATATAATGAAACAACTATAGATGATGAAAGAAGTTATTGCTTATCGTGATAATTTTAATAATAAAATTCGAAGTCTTTTGAAATATATAATGTTAAAACTGAAGTAGAGGTTTTGACTGCACAATTATTAGGAGTTCGAAATAATGATAGTAAGAAAGCCAAAGCAAATCTATTTTTCGGAACTTCATCTTTCATCATTATCGCAAAGTATTCTTGAAGAACTTGCGAGAAGCTCATAACATTTATGATACTGATAATGAGGTATCACCATTCAATTTAGACGTAGCTATTCCCATAATTCAGCATGTATATTGTCACATATAAGGGATTTTTAACATTATTAATACTGTTAGTTTTAAAATAAGTATATTTTTTATTGAAATAAAACTATTAACAATATGAGTGTTTTAAATAATTTTGAGGTTGTATTTGATTAATGTTTTTCTTGCAATTCAATATAATAAAAATAGCGTTATAAAAATAAATGGTAACAAAGTCAGAAATCAATTCATCAAGTATTCTTCAAATTTTTCATTTGTAATCAATATACCGGGGGAGGACAAAAAGTATTGCACGGACAAGAATTAGATAATTTTGTAAATTATTTAATAAGCAACTGGCAGTTACTACGTTTATAACGATCTTCGGCGGCATCTCTAGTTCTTAATTTTTCTACATGTTTCAAAATAAGAAATTCAATTAAAATTTTTATGAGATCGAATCTAAATTTTGATAAATTTTTTTTTAATTGGTCCACTTGTCTGATCACAGTCATGTGCTCAAAATTAGCTTAAGAACTAAATTTTGCAAAAATTTTCAGATTTCCCGACCATCTTTTCTTTGTAATTTCCTTTGTCATGCCTATGTTCGTGGCTACTTTTACGACTACAAACTTGGCGCATTTCTAGTTGTATAAATTTAATTTAAAGTTCAAAGTTTTGGAGAATCGAAGCAGAACCTAGCTGTATTTTCCTGAAAGTCCAGATAGGCATTGACAAAACTTTAGTATTGTGCAAGATCACTTTCAAATTATTTCTTGGTTGCAAAAAAAAAAAAAATTGGGGCGTTTTTTTTAAAAATGCATACTGTAATAAAGCAATAGTTTATTCAAGGATCATTTAAATTAAGAAATTTATTATTTATACTCTAATTTCGATTGGCGGCTGTTTATTGTAATTCTATATTATTTAAATTTTTAACACCCCATGTATATGTAATTTATAAAACTTTTCCTGTAAAGAATTTCCTCATCCACTCACTCTCCTTGACGCATTAGAGGCATTCCTTTCAGAAAGAATACTTTTTTGTAAATTTGCGTTTCGCATGACTGGAGACATTTATAAATTTAATAATATAACGATACAAAAATTTATATTGCACGTTACACAAAATAAATTTATTCTTCTAATAAATTAATTTTCTTTGGGACTGTAAACACTTGTAATTAATAAAATATTAGTATGTATACTTTCATTTTTTAGCGATTTCCACAAAACTTATGATCAAAGTAAGTCGTTGGCCACAATAAAATCGATTAAAAACTTCGATATTAAAATTATTTGAATCGATTTTAATTCATACGCGTGATCATGTAATTAAAAAGGTTTTCTTTATTAAAAAATTTTCTTTTGTTATATTATCATACATCATATATAAAAATCACGTAAACGTTAATAAAATTAAATTTTTAAATAATGTTGAATTTTCAAACAAAATTTAGCTTTACGAATGGCGCAGAAATAACAGAATGGTGAAATACGAATTTAAATTTACGAAACTTGTCAATCTTATGTTTCGTACCGTATACTCTTATCCTGCCTTAGACATTGCTTTAACGCAAATGTGAATTTATAAAAAACAAAAGAATTAAGCTTAATGCTTTTATTTCTTATTACTATCAGATTTTGTTATAAATTTTTAAGAAAAAAAGTTTTTTAAAAACAAAATTTCAATTTAATTAAAATAACTATTCGCAAGTATGTGTGTATAAACGTTAATAGTGACAATATAACTTGGAAATTTTTTTTATTCTTATATCAATTTTTTTTTTAATGTGATTCATAGTATTTATGCAACAGTATTGGGTTCATTGAGGACATTAATGCACTGTCGTGCCTTACAACGATGCCAACAAAAATTACTATTTGGGTTTAATTTAACTTTTCATTTTTTTTTAATAAAATAACATTTTATATTTTTTTTTTTTTTTTTTTTTTTTTAAAAAAAAAGTCGATGAATATTATCGATATTAAAAATTGCATGCACATTTGATCTATTATTAACATTGAAATTGCTTTTTTTCACAATTGGGATTATGGGTTATATTCCAACCAGTCTTTGTAGTATTAGTTGAACATATATCAAAGGTATCTCGAAGAAACTTGAGTTCTTTTATTTGTCCATCTGAGGCACCTATTATACAGTTATCATCTCCGATTGTTGGACAATCACAAGATTGTCCGCAAAATGAAGGTTTTGGGTCACATATTTCAACATTCAACTTTTGTAAGGTATTGCTTATTATTGATGCTGACATATGGTTATATGTATTTGTTTTAATAGTATTATAAACGTCATCATCATTGCCAAGTAATTTATAATTATCCACCTTTTGATGAATAGTAAAACTAGATAATATTGACTTGTTTGCAGCAAAAAAACTATTGTATAATGTATCTTCAAAATGAAATTGGAGATTTTCACTTGCGGCTGATAGGTATGATGAAAGATCAGTATAGGTTTGCCCGGTAAATCATTCTTGAACATTGTCCAATAAACTTGGAAGAACGTATCTATTCACCATGCTAACCGTAAAAAATCCTACACTCGTATCTCCCGTATCCCTCTTTTCTATTGGAGGGAAATCCGAACCCTTACTCAAAGTTTCAAGGGTTTGTTGAATATTGGGGTTTTCTGATTCTTGATAGTATCTCGACATTTCCCTCATTGCAGAAGATTCGCACAATTCTATGTTTTTAGAGCAACCAACTCCATCAACTACTACGTTTTTGAATCTGTCTAAATTGATTGGACTTTCTGCTTCTTCTGTCCAAGCTTCTGCTTCAGTCATTTCTATCCCTTCTTCAGCTCCAACATCTATAGCATCCCATGCAGCAGCATATAAGGCAGAGGCTGAACTGATTTCTGCGACTTCACCGGCGCCAAATATTAAACTAGAAACCGCTCCACCTATTCCACTTAATAAATATGTTCCACCAAAATACATACCAAGTATAGCAATGGAAACGACTGCTACAATTATCATCGATCTTAGATATTATTTATGTTTAGGCTGTGGAGGCGGTTGTGGAATCAATTCTTTTAGATTATCGGGAGTCATTTTAATACTTAGTTCTGTAAGGGCATCATGGAACCCTCGATGGTGTCTCTCCCAATAATTGAATAGATTGTTTGCAGAATTAATCATGTGATATGTAGCAACATGATAATTATCAGGAATGAACGAACTGCCTGAACCGAACTGAAGTGATGCAGCATATGATCCAACTTCATTACCAGTCAAATAATCGATGCATTCAGCTACAAGTTCTGTTTTCTTAATAGGCCATCCGGGTTCATCTGGATGTTTACCTTCACTGCAATACTGTGCTGTTAGATCAGTTGGAAAAATATAAACTGGGTTCGGTACTTTTTTATTATATGTAATTTTAGGGGTCGGAATAAGTTTCATCGTGTAATTACTTAAATGAAATTTGTAGTTATTAAGGTTTTTTTCGGTAAACGACAAAACTGTAAGATCTTCCCTGTTTATTTTCACCATAAAGCTGAAGTTGCAATCATAGGTACATCCCCACATAGAGATGTTTACAGTTGTTAATGGTGGCTCATGACTTATATTTTGAAGTTCCCTGACCAAAAGAGATGTCGAATAGTTAATGCCATCATCGTCTATATGGAACGCCGCAAG